TTTATTTATTTAATTTTTTGGCATATTATGGGGGTACAGATTTAAGGTTTCAAAATGCCATTTCCCCCCCCCCCCCAAAAGTCTCGAGTCCTCATCATGACCATCCCCCAAATGGTGCACATCTCCACTCATGTATGTTTGTATATACCGCCCCCCCCCCTCCCACCTCCAAATACCTACTTACTGTAGCACCTATGTGTCCCTTAGGTTGCTACTCAGTTTAATACCAGTTTGCTGGAGAATATATCTGGTGCTTTTGTTTTCATATAATTTATTTAACTTTATGTTAATTAATTGTCTTCACCCAGAAAATCGTTGTCACAAGGTATATGATATGACTAAAATGAAGGTTTTATTTTTTTAAAAATTTCATTATAGAAATGTCAAACATAGTACAATCAATCTGTGTGCTTTCTCAACTCCAGTGGTTAACAAAAACTCATAGCCAGTCTTTAATTCATCACATTTCCTGCCCTGCCCTTACTTAGTCCCAGGCATAGCATCATTTCATCGATAAATATATAATTGTTTTAAGAGCATTTGAAGACTTATTGAAAAGGTCTAGGAGTGATTTGTGAATGAGAGCAGAAAAATCCTTAATGTTAACAATAAGGACAGCTAAGTGAAGAAAGTAAACATCTAAGTATTTCAAAAGGAATCAGGTCAAAATTTAATCCAGCCTAGAAAGGAAGAACAAAACTGCACTAGTGTGTTATAACACACCACAACCTCCTTTTACCTCTTCAAAGCAAATGTAATGCAGCCATACCCTGCAAATATTACTATTCACCCACTGTACTTTGCAGAATTTCAAGCTCTTTGTTGTTTTGTTTCATGTACCATTACATTTGTCACCTTCTAACTCGTGTAGAGCTTTTAGCAAGTGGTTTAATAAATACTACGAGAGTTATTTTAAATATTGTTGTTTTTATGTTAACATTTCTCACGTTCTTTACTCATGTGTGTGTGGGTGTGATTTTTTTGTGTGCCTCCTGTGATCCTAGCAGATATCTGTTGTGATTAAACTTATGTAGCTAATAATTTTGGATATAATATGCATTATCCAGAGATGCACATTAATTTCCTGTTTGGCCTATAGTTGCAGTAATTCAAGTAGGAAATAATTGTTCTGAGTGCATGTTTGTCTTACTCTTCTAAACTCAAGAAAATTTCAAACGAGATTCTTAACCTTCGCTATACTCTCCAGTTAGTTATCTTCTATTATAGCGGTGTCCACCATAACTTTTCCATTCTGCCCTGGTGTCTGTCTTGGTTCTCCAGGTTTCAAAGAATGAGGCACTCGTTCTATTCTGGTTCAGAAGATTGTACCTTAAGAACATTAGCCACAATTAGGAACCCCCCCCCAACCCTAAATGTGGTATTGTACTTATTTGGGTGAAATTTACTGGGTGTGGACCCAGGCCTTATTTTAGGGTTTGTAAAGACTTAGAGAAATATGGTAGTGCTTCCACACCCAAACGCACAAGCTTCCTCCTCCAGGAATGATTTTGAGGCACCTGTTGTATTATGGCATAATGTCAGTGTGGTCATTTAAGATAATTCCCTCAGTTGCACTGGCAGCAGCAATTGACTTAAACGCATGCTTCTCTCCTGTAGTGGCAGTCTGCATGGGCTGGCCAATTAAAATCTTGACAACTTGTTGGGGGCTACGGGTCGCTGCACATATTTAAAAAGCCCTGTTTCCAGCCTAAGACAGCCCGCTATGTCACCCTCCCCAAAGGGGTGACAGAGTGACATTACCATATGCTACTAATGGTTCATAAAATGCTAATGGTAAAACAAAAAAAATGCTAACAGAACATGACTCGAGCGAATCTGCCATGCCCTGCCTCTTTGCCCATAACTGTATATATATATACTTTTCACATCATCTGGAAAAAAATCTATTCTTGTTGGCCGTATTCTTTTCATTCTTTGCTCATATTAATAATGTTTATCGCTGCCTTTTGGAAAGGATGTTTTTTTTTTCATATTAGGCCACTGTTATGTTCGCCTCTTTGCACATATTGGCAATACATCCTTCAGGTTCTTTGCTACTCGATAGTTGTCGAATTTCATGAAATGATAACTAGTACTTGGTTTACATTCTCTCAGATTGTACTATCTTAACTTACCTCTGCACTCGATTCAATTTCAGCCAGATGCTTGATTCGTTCTCCCCAATATCCCCTTGCAGCCTTAGCTCACTGCATAAATTCTCTCTTTGTTTGCTAATCTACTCTCCAACCTTCCAAGTTCTAGATTGAATACTCTTCATAACCATTTTTTACTCTAAGGCCTACGTGGTCTAGCTGACAGCTACTTTTCCAGCACTCCTTCTGTTCTGTCTTCTCCCAGGCGGATAATCCTTATTTCTGGTCATTTTTTAACATCGGTCATTTGTTCTACCTTCCCATGCCTCACCACCTTACATGCTCGTAAAATCATCCAATGGTGTCGCTGGATTCCATTTGCTGCTCTCCAGCTGTGCTTTAGTCATATACTGTTTGATGTGGTGTCACTTCCGTGGCATTTTTCGCCTTCGTGATGTACATTTATGCTTGCTTTTAGCCAGATGTAGGCCATTCCTAGTTCCCAACATCCACGCGAACATGCTGAGAGCATTCGTTCTTGGTAACAGCACACATTGCCCATTACTTTGGACGCCTGTCGGACACGCCTTTTCCAACTGGGCCATCTCGACTCTAAACTTCTTACGCCAGATTTTTCTGGCAATTAAACAACTGTCACCTGGCTTCTTTTGGGGCGCAGGGAGGCAAATGGCAATCTTACCCTTGAAGACCCTCAAATCCTGTCACCCCAATATACCGTGCCAAAATAAAAAAAAAACTGCTCATCGGAAATACCTCAGGATTTTTTACAAACATCTCAATCCTTTCAGATGTCTAGATAGACTCAGTCTGGCACCTTGGAAAACAGTTTAAGTGGGGGATCCATCCTGCGCAACTACAGCAATCCTTTCTTTCATTATCTCTCACAATCTGTGTTAGCACAGCTACAGTTTCACACCATTTCCAGAGGTAACTAAGTGTGATCCCAAATGTATCATCTCTGACCTAGAAATCGAATCGTGTCTGGAAGTCAACTATCATATGTGCTGGCACGGTTGGTCTAGTGGAGTTAAGTCTTCCTCCTTCCTCGTGCCATGGTGACAACTCAGGTACTTTCTTCCCAGGCTATCTCTATTCACCCTTTTAAAAACCTGAGGGGTTTCAAATCACTCCTTTTCATCCTTATTTTACAGGTGGGCGAAAATAAAACACTCCCACAAATGCTCGCCACCTTGACTCCCAGTTTGACTTCAGCTCCTACTTTTTAAGATACTCTCATTATGACTTTTCTTTATCTTTCACGCTTCATAACTGCTCGTCTTTACAAATCAGTTTAGGCAGCTCATTCTAACCTCAGGTTCAGCTGCAGTACATATACTACTCCATTTACTCCAGGCGCTGCAAGATTTTCAAGGTACACATATATACTGCACTAGCTAACATTTAACATCTTGTTTTAGGGACAGGTTTCCAAGTTTGCATACTAGGCATCTCCAGCCAACAGAGTCTTTGAACTCAAATTTTCAAAAGCCCAACCATTTCACCGTTTCCAGAAATTACAGCTAATTGCCTTTAAGTCAGTATCCTCAACTTATTCACCTTAAATGATGCTATACAATGTGGTTATATTTCTTCTTAACAAGGCTCTGACTTCTCCTCCTAGTCAACCTAGAGTCAAATTTCAATAGTCATCAGGATCATCTTCTCCTCCACTAATTCTGCGCTCTTGGGAAAAGACAGTCTTTTTCTTGTCAAAGATTATCACTCTAGGTAATGTGGTTGTTGTCATAATTTACCACCAGACCCTCCCCTGACGCCGCTGTGCTGTCTTTACCTTTGGCCTCCGAAACATTATCTTCCTATGCTTCTCGTTGCTCAAAACACAGCGTCCATGCCCTCTCTTTTAATGAAACTGCATTTTCTGCAACTGTCTACATGTACCCCCAAGCATTTCCAAACCTTATGTTGTAAAGATTCAGGTATCCTGTCCTAGTTAATCCTAGATGGGGAGAGAAGTAGCATTCTTTTCTAGCACTTCTTATAGGCATTCAGTTTTGTCAGGGAGAATCAATGTTGCAGTAGATGGTATATATAGTTCCACTGTTATGGAGCCATGCCTGTCGACTGTTTGTAGAATTAAGGGTTTGTATACCAGTTCAGTTAAAAACCTGTACACTGCTATGTTGATAAACTTGGGCAGTTTCAACTTTACTTTTCAGGCAAATTCTATTAGCCACCCCCAGAAACTGGAACGCAGATCTGGCATTATCAGTGCCTTGCCCAAAATGATAACAGGTCTGATCAGTTTGTTATAATCATGCTTTATAGCAATAAAATCAAAAACGAAAGCAGTGGGACTAGATGACCACATGCTCCTATTAACAGAGATAAGCGACTCCATTCAAGTTACATCCACGATGAGGGGTCTCGCTCTTGCTCAGGCTGGTTTTGAACTCCTGACCTTGAGCAATCCGCCTGCCTCGGCCTCCCAAGAGCTAGGATTACAGGCGTGAGCCACCGCGCCCGGCTATGTAAGTTTTAAGAACAACGTTGGTACATATCCGTGTGAGATATTATCCAGTATATAGATAGTAATTCATGCAGATCCTTTGTAAAATACTGCAGGCCCTTTGATTTACTGTTTTGAACACTTTGAATTCACTGTTTGGATAGTTTATATCACTCATTCGTACTTAATTTGGCTTGTGACATTCTTTTTTATTGTTGTGCATTGTTATTGAACTTCTACATGTGCTTATCTAAATCATATACTTCTTGAGGTCAAAGATCAGAAATTGAATTTTCACTATATTTCCTACAGAAGACTGCAGTAAATAGAGGTGAATGAAATAACAAGTGAAAGTGGTTTAATGTGTACCATTGGTTGCTACTAATCCTTGTATATATTTTTTTAATTTCTTTCTATAGGCCTCTCCTTGGGAAATGAAAGGGAAGCAGAGTCTAAACCCTGTACAGAAATGTAAGGCACTGATTGAGGTTGAAACCAGCAGCAGTGATCCAGATATAATCCTGGTGAGATAAACTTTACTCACTAAATGACACTTTGAGATTGATGCACATTCATAAAGATTAGAAGTATCCATTAGTGCCTCAAAGTAATTGGAACATTTACTTGAATAACTTACTTTTTAGATGAAGAAACAGGACTCAGAAAAGTTAGTTAAGTTACTTGCCTAAGGCTACATAAACTAGTAGAGATATAACTGGAACTTACATTGCCTGACCCTTAGTCTATGACCCCTTTCCATTTTAGTTATTAGGGTGAGAAAGTTTATATATATATATATATATATACATATACACACACACACATAAAAATTATATCTATAATTTGAAGGTCATGACAAACTTCATTCCCAAATCCAAAGCATAAGAATCTTTCTGTAATTCATAATTTACACTCTCACCAGAAAGTATAATTCTAGGATGATGTAAGTTAGGCCACTACCAAAAACCTTGCAGAGAGAAGTCTATTCAAGGAATATGGGCGTGCTTTCCATTTACTACTCTGGATAATGTATCCCTGATTCTAACATGACAGTTGATATCAAAGAGCTGCATATTTGGGTTACTGTAGAGTTATTTTGCCTTCACTAAACCAGATGTAAAAAGCTCTTGATGTTTAGGAAGAATCAATTCAAGGACTGACCATATGAGAAACACTTCATCTGTGAAGCCATGTTGTCCATTATGTTATATAGTGTCCTTTGTGTTATAATAAACACTAAAAGTTCATTTAGACATTGAATTTAATGTCAGGGATATATATTTTGTACTTTCTTTTGTCAGAATATAAATTTATTATCACTGTATTTCCTTTTATAATACCTTAATTAGGAGTTACAAGAATTTACACCAAACTTGAACTAAAAGCGTCATTACAGTTTCCTACGAGGTTATCATTTTTGACATGGTACGGTGAAGCATTTAGACAAAGGGACCTGGCTCATCGTAATGTCTTTAAGACTGAGGTCCCTCCACAAGATACCTATTTAGAATTGTGGGTTAGATTTAACTTTACACCTACGCCGAATGAGGCAACGATATAATTATTTTATTTTTTTACTGTATTTATTATTTACTTTATTTATTTATTGTATTTTTCCTGGAATACCTTACTGGGGGTACAGATTTGTAACAGGTTCAAAATGCATTTCCCCCCCCCAAAAGTCTCGTTCATCATGACCATGCCCCAAATGGTGCACATCTCCACTCATGTATGTTTGTATATCCGCCCCTCCCCCCTCCCACCTCCAATACCTACTTACTGTAGCACCTATGGTGGTCACCTAGGTGCTACTCAGTTAATAACCACGTTTGCTGGAGAATATATCTGGTGCTTTTGTTTTTCATATAATTTATTTTAACTTTATGTTAATTAATTATGTCCTTCAACAGAAAATCGTTGTCCAAGGTATTATGATATGACTAAATGAACGGTTTTATTTTTTTAAAAATTTCATTAAGTAGAAATGTCAACATAGTAACAATCAATCTGTGTCTTTCTAACTCCAGTGGTTAACAAATAACTCATAGCCAGTCTTTTTCATCACATTTCTGCCCTGCCTTACTTAGTCCCTAGGCATAGATACATTTCATCGATAATTATAATTGTTTTAAGAAGCATTTGAAGACTTATTGAAAAGGTCTAGGAAGTGATTTGTGAATGAGAGCAGAAAAATCCTTAATGTTACAATAAGGACAGCTAAGTGGAAGAAGTAAACATCTAAGTATTTCAAAAGGAATCAGGTCAAAATTTAATCCAGCCTAGAAAGGAAGACAAACTGCACTAGTGTGTTAAACACACCAACCTCCTTTTACTCTTCAAAGCAAAATGTTAATGCAGCATACCCTGCAAATATTACTATTCACCCACTGTACTTTGCAGAATTTCAAGCTTTTGTTGTGGTTTGTTCATGTAGCCATTACATTTGTCACCTCTCTAAGCTTCGTGTAGAGCTTTTAGCAAGTGGTTTAATAAACTACCCTACGAGAGTTATATTTAAAATACTTGTCTGTTTTTATGTAACATTTCTCAGGTTTCTTATCTCATGTGGTGTGGTGTGATTTTTTTGTGGCCTCTGTGATCCCTAGCAGGATATCTGTATTGTTGATTCAAATTATGTAGCTAATAAGATTTTGGATATCCAATATGCATTATCCGAGATGCACATTAATTTCTGTTTGGCCTATAGTTGCAGTATCAGTAGGAAATAATTGTTCTGAGTGCATGTCTGTCTTACTCTTCTCTAAATCAGCAAATTCAAACCGCCAGATTCTTAACCTTCTGCTAACTTCCAGTTAGTTATCTTCTAATTATAGCGTGTGTCCACATACGTTCTTGCCTTCGCCCTGGTGTCCTTCTTGGTTCTGCCAGGTTTCAAGAATGAAGGCACTCGTCTATTCTGGTTCCAGGATTTGTCACCTCCTAAGAACAATTAGCCACCACATAGGACACCTCCCCCCAACCCTAAATGCTGGTAATTGTACTTATTTTTGGTGAAATTTACTGGGTGTGGACCCAGGACCCTTATTTTAGGGTGTAATAGACTTAGAGAAATATGGTAGTGCTTCCACACCCAAACGCACAAGCTTCCTCCTCCAGGAATGATTTTGAGGCACCTGTTGTATTATGGCATAATGTCAGTGTGGTCATTTAAGATAATTCCCTCAGTTGCACTGGCAGCAGCAATTGACTTAAACGCATGCTTCTCTCCTGTAGTGGCAGTCTGCATGGGCTGGCCAATTAAAATCTTGACAACTTGTTGGGGGCTACGGGTCGCTGCACATATTTAAAAAGCCCTGTTTCCAGCCTAAGACAGCCCGCTATGTCACCCTCCCCAAAGGGGTGACAGAGTGACATTACCATATGCTACTAATGGTTCATAAAATGCTAATGGTAAAACAAAAAAAATGCTAACAGAACATGACTCGAGCGAATCTGCCATGCCCTGCCTCTTTGCCCATAACTGTATATATATATACTTTTCACATCATCTGGAAAAAAATCTATTCTTGTTGGCCGTATTCTTTTCATTCTTTGCTCATATTAATAATGTTTATCGCTGCCTTTTGGAAAGGATGTTTTTTTTTTCATATTAGGCCACTGTTATGTTCGCCTCTTTGCACATATTGGCAATACATCCTTCAGGTTCTTTGCTACTCGATAGTTGTCGAATTTCATGAAATGATAACTAGTACTTGGTTTACATTCTCTCAGATTGTACTATCTTAACTTACCTCTGCACTCGATTCAATTTCAGCCAGATGCTTGATTCGTTCTCCCCAATATCCCCTTGCAGCCTTAGCTCACTGCATAAATTCTCTCTTTGTTTGCTAATCTACTCTCCAACCTTCCAAGTTCTAGATTGAATACTCTTCATAACCATTTTTTACTCTAAGGCCTACGTGGTCTAGCTGACAGCTACTTTTCCAGCACTCCTTCTGTTCTGTCTTCTCCCAGGCGGATAATCCTTATTTCTGGTCATTTTTTAACATCGGTCATTTGTTCTACCTTCCCATGCCTCACCACCTTACATGCTCGTAAAATCATCCAATGGTGTCGCTGGATTCCATTTGCTGCTCTCCAGCTGTGCTTTAGTCATATACTGTTTGATGTGGTGTCACTTCCGTGGCATTTTTCGCCTTCGTGATGTACATTTATGCTTGCTTTTAGCCAGATGTAGGCCATTCCTAGTTCCCAACATCCACGCGAACATGCTGAGAGCATTCGTTCTTGGTAACAGCACACATTGCCCATTACTTTGGACGCCTGTCGGACACGCCTTTTCCAACTGGGCCATCTCGACTCTAAACTTCTTACGCCAGATTTTTCTGGCAATTAAACAACTGTCACCTGGCTTCTTTTGGGGCGCAGGGAGGCAAATGGCAATCTTACCCTTGAAGACCCTCAAATCCTGTCACCCCAATATACCGTGCCAAAATAAAAAAAAAACTGTCATGAAATAACTGCAGGAGTTTTTTAAAAACATCTCAATCCTTTCAGAATGTCTAGATAGACTTCCAGTCTGGACCTTGGAAACATTTATATGGGAGATCCATCTGCGCACTACAGCAATCCTTTCTTCATTATCTCTCACAATCTTGTTAGCACAGCTACAGTTTCACCACCATTTTCCAGGGTAACTGAGGTGTTGAAGGTCGCAAATGTATCATCTCTGACCCTAAAAATGAATCGTTCTGGAAGTCCACTATTCATATGTGCTGGCACGTGGTCTAGTGGAGTAGTCTTCCTCCTTCCTCGTGGGCCATGGTGACCAACTCAAGTACTTTCCTTCCCAGGCTATCATTCTCATCTCACCCTTTTAAAAACCTGCAGGGGCAAATAACTCTTTTCATCTTATTTACAGGTGGGAAATAAAACGACTCCCAGAAAAAAAATCAAATCTTCGCGCACCTTGACTCCAGCTTTTGACGTTCAGCCCTACTTTTTTATAATACTACTCATTATGACTTTTCCTTTATCTTTCACCCTATCATAACTGCTCCTTTACATCAACGTTAGGCGCTCATTCTATCAGGTTCGCTGAAGTCATATACCTATTCACTTACTCAGGCGCTGAAGAATTTTCAAGGATACACATATATACTGCACTAGCTATACCTTTAAGTCATCTATGTTTTAGACAGTTTCCAAAGTTTCATATAGCATCTCCAGGCAAAAGTCTGTTGAAATCAATTTTAAAAGACGCAACTCAGTTTCCACCTTTCCAGAATTAACAGTAAATTGCCTTTAAGTCAGTATCTCAACTTATCCACTTACAATGATGACATATACAGATGTGGTGTTATTTCTTCTTAAAAGGCCTGACTCTCTCCTCCTAGTCAACCTATGAGTCCAATTAATAGTCATCAGGGACATCTGTCTCCTCCACTAATTCTGGCTCTTGAAAGACAGTCTTTTTTTGTCAAGATCTATCACTCTACGTAATGTGGTCTGTGGTCATAATTTACCAACCAAACCCTCCATCGACCCGCATGCTGCTGTCCTT